ATCACGCTCTAGAGCCAAAGGTATGTCATTGCTCCTGGGGCAGACCTGGCAATCAGACTATCTGTATCCTGCTCAGCCTAAATCTGCTTTCCCACTTGCAGCCTCCCAGGAACCTGCGTGGGTGGAGGTGATGGTCGAGATCTTGCTGTCCCTGCTGGCTCAACCCAGCAACTTGATGCGCAAGGTGGTCCGGAACGTCTTTGGCCATATCTGTTCCCACCTTACTCCCCGTGGTCTGCAGCTAATCCTGGCTGTGAGTTGGGGCCCTTGGAGAAATAAGATTGTAAGATGGGTCTGCTGAGATGTAGTGGAGTGTGTGACATCTTACCCTGGGGTGATGGGAGCCTTTGGCCAAGATAGAAGAGACTGCAAGAGTGACCTGAGGAAGGTAGGCACTCGGGACAGCAAGTGCAACAGTGGTCTGGGACTTCTCCTCAGGTGCTCAACCCTGAGACAAATGAGGATGAGGATGACAACGTGGTGGTCACTGATGATACCAATGAGAAGCAGCTGAAGCGTGGAGAGGTACTTGGTGATGTGCAGGGTAGGGTGTGGGTGGCTGAAGATAAGTCACATGGTGTCATTGAGAGGGTGTGATTTGCCTGCCTCCCACCCATAGGATGAGGACTCCGATAGTGAGGACAATAAAAACTCTGACAGTGATGTGGATAGTGAGGATGGAGCAGAGAGTGAAGAGGAGGACCGTGACAAGGATGTGGACCCAGGCTTTCGTCAGCAGCTGATGGAAGTGTTACAAGCTGGGAATGCACTGGTGAGCAGGAGCCAAGGGAGAGGGGGTTTGTCCACCTACCTGAGGCCAGGCTGATGGCTGTGCTTCTGTACCTCAGGGTGGAGTGGACAGTGAGGACGAGGAGGAGCTTGGGGATGAGGCTATGATGGCCCTGGACCAGAACCTGGCCAGCCTATTTGCAGAGCAAAAGCTGCGCATCCAGGCCCGGCAAGAGGAGAAGAACAAGCTGCAGAAGGAGAAGCAGCTCCGACGGGACTTCCAAATCCGAGTGAGTGTGCATGTGGTTGTCAGGCACCCTGAGCTGCCCCTGCCTCCCCTGTGCTTCTGCTTGGGCTGATTCCCAGTCTTCTGGCCACAGGTACTGGACCTGATAGAAGTGCTGGTGACCAAACAGCCTGAGCACCCCCTGATCCTGGAACTGCTTGAGCCACTGCTGAGCATCATCCAACGCAGCATGCGCAGCAAAGGCTCCACCAAGCAGGAGCAAGACCTCCTGCACAAGACCGCCCGCATCTTCATGTGAGTGCCCATTCCCCTGGGTAGCACCTCACTCCTGACTGATCTTTCCATCTTCTTCATGCTCCGTGCTCCCTGGGCTTAGAGCAGGGGGTCTTGAAGCTCTGGTCCCAACCCAGCCAGCAGTGTTGTAATAGTTGGGAATTCTGACAAGGGTAGGGCTGTCTCTCACAGAACAGTATGCCAGTCCAGATCACCTGTTGACTGGTTTGTCCTTGCCCCTGCTCTGTCCATATCCCTGAGCACACAGAACTTGGTCTTACCTTACAGAGTCTGAGGCCACTGTCCTGCAAAACAGGTACAGACAAGAGAGGTAGGCCGGCCAGATCAGAGGTGCTTGGCCCCTGGGTCAAGTCCCTGTCCTCTCTTGAGTCAGTTTTCTAACTTATGCAATGATACTTAGGACAGCTCTTCTTGCTGGGCGTGGCAGAGCAAGGTGGAGAGCACCTTTTGACCAGCTTGCCTTGTCCACCCACAGGCACCATCTATGCCGTGCCCGCCACTACTGCCACGAGGTAGGGCCCTGTGCAGAGGGTCTGCATGCCCAGGTGGAACGGCTTGTGCAGCAGGCTGGCAGTCAGGCTGACGCCTCCGTCGCCCTTTACTACTTCAATGCCTCTCTGTACCTGCTGCGAGTACTCAAGGGCAACACTGCTAAGAGATACGAGGATGGTCAGAATCTACCGGGAGCTGAACCCAAGGACTCAGAGGTGAGCCCCAGGGGCCAGCCCACTCAATTTCCAGAGAATTTAAGCCAGCCTTTGCCCGGGACCCACCTTCAGTCTTCTGTGACTTGCATCCTATCTTACAACAGCTCTCTCACCAGGCCCAGACTGCCAATTGCTTGGACTTGGATTTCGTGACCCGGGTGTACTCGGCAGCACTGGAGTCTTTTCTGACTAAGCGTAACAGCCCACTCACTGTCCCCATGTTCCTCAGCCTCTTCTCCCGATACCCAGTAAGTGCAGGAGCCAGCCTGCCTCTTGGGAACCCTGCTCAGCCCAGCCCCCAACTAATGGTCCCTGTCCTTCCTTAACCCCCAGGTAATCTGTAAGAACCTGCTTCCTGTCCTGGTCCAGCATGTGTCTGGCCCATTGCGGCCCCGCCATCAGGTAAGGTTCTGTCTGAATCACCTGTGCAGATCTTCTCACTGGCACCTAAGGGGCCTGCTTCACTGACCTTGGCTTTGCTTGTACACATGGTAGGCACAGAGGAATTTCAGGAACCTTGCTGTCTTGCTCAAGACCTCCAGCACTGCTAAGACCTCATCTCTGACCTGACCTGCACTAGAGGGAGCCCCCTGTCTTAGATGCCAGGGCTGTCAGGCAGACTAGAGGGCACAGCATTATGTTAGTAAGAGCCAAGGACTGTCCCAGCATGAGGTCTTACTTGTATTCAGTTGGGACCATTGCCTCTTCAGGTCTCAGCAGCCCTTTACCCATATAAATAAGAAGAGAGGAACTGATGATTGTAGGCCCTAGCACGGACAGCGTCCTAAGCTTGTGTGGTTCCTGAGCCTTTAGCTGGCATGCTGGGGCTCCTGCTGACTACATTCTCCTTAATGCAGGCCCAGGCGTGCCTGCTGCTCCAGAAGACCCTGTCTGCACGGGAGCTGAGAGTGTGTTTTGAGGATCCTGAGTGGGAGCAGCTGATTGGCCAGGTCTTGGGAAAGCTCACCCAGGTAACAAATTAGCTGTGAAGCTCTCACCCATGAACTCATCCTAGGTTTCTGGAAACCAGAATGCTTGGAACTTGAGGTTCCAGAGTGGATGGTGTAAGTTAGCTAGTCTCCAGAGACATTTCCTCTCTCTGGGCCACTACTATGTGGGAGATGTAGAAGGACCTTGGGCAGTTCTCAGGAGTGCCTCAGTGTTGGCCTTTCTCCATAGACCCTGCAGACACTGGGGGATGCACAGAGCAAGGGGGAGCAGCAGAGGGAGTTCTCCACCTTGGAGCTACTGAACATTCTCTTCAAGACAGTCAATCATGAGGTAAGGCAGCCAGCCACCTGACAATCTGTGCCCTAGATGGAATCGCCATCACACCATGGTTCTGGAAGTGGTCCTTTGTTGATATAAGTGATTGACTTCAAAGGGTAAAAAGCCACATCTGGACCTGGCAGACTGGGGGTGAGGCTGTGTCACCATGCATCAGAAAACTGAAAAATGAGACTTAGTGATAGTGAGATGAGCTAGAGATGATCCCAGGTGGGCAGCCATTTGAAAGGATGCCAGGTTTCCAGGCAGGGAGGGGTGTAAAAGTGAGGCCAGTAAAGGGTAAGAGTTACTCATGGGTAGAAGGCAAGGAAGCCACTGGAAATGGGTTCCCTAGTCTAGAATCGCTTTTACAGGGGACAGCGGAGCTGAAAAAGCAGAGACCTGGGCTCCTGGCTCTGGAAAGGGAAACAGGGGCCTTGCTTCCTCCACAATGGAGACTAGTGATTTAGAGACAGGAGTGGCTAAGGACCCAGGAGCAGGTGGAAGACCCCAAATCTGGTGAGAGCGCATGTCACCACTACTGTTCCTCTATCCTGCCATTCCTCTGTAGAAGCTGTCTGTGGACCTCACTTCTGTCTTGGGCCTGCTGCAAAGCAAGCAGCAGAAGCTACAGCAGAGCTTGCAGCAGGGGAACCACTCTTCTGGCTCCAACCGCCTCTACGACCTCTACTGGCAGGCCATGAGGATGCTGGGAGTCCAGTATGTTCTTGGAGAGGGAGCCACCCTTAGGAGGGGGTCAGTATTGCCTTCTGTCATTTCACTCCTGTGTTTTACTGCTTCCTTACAGACGTCCCAAGTCAGAAAAGAAGAATGTCAAGGATGTTCCTAGCGACTCCCAGAGCCCCATTAGCCAGAAGCGGAAGAAAAAGGGATTCTTGCCTGAGACCAAGAAACGAAAAAAAGTTAAATCTGAGGACACCACACCGGGAAAGGATGCTACATCAGGGCAGGAGGTAGTGACAGCGGGTGCCACGCCTGCTGCTGCTGGTGAAGGCCAGCCCCCCAGCACAGGCAAGAAGAAAAGGAAGAGGGTGAAGGCCAACACTCCATCCCAGGTGAATGGTACACCTGTCACCAAGAGTCCAGCTCCCAACAACCCCACCCTAAGCCCCAGCACCCCTTTTAAGTCCCCAAAACTACAGAAGAAGAAAGAGAAGCTTTCACAGGTGAATGGAGGCACTCCTGTGTCCCCTATAGAGCCTGAAGGCAAAGAGCATCACCAGAAGGCTCTTCCCACAAAGGAGGTCTTGAGAAAGTCCCCCCAGTCTGCCCTACCACGAAAAAGGGCAAGACTGTCTCTGGTTAGCAGGAGCCCCAGCCTGTTACAGAGTGTGGTTAAGAAAAGGAAAGTGGCCCGGAGGAAAATGCAGACACCTTGAGTGTGGTGTGGTCTGTTTTCCCCCTCCCACCTTCAGCAGCCCCAGAGACTCCTATTTTTTCACCAGTATTTTAATAAATATTGCCATGGTATATGACACCAGTCTCTGGCTTTGGCCAGTGGTTCTATTACCAACCTTCTGGGGGCAGGATCTATCTACTGCAGGCCTGGCGCTAGCTGTGTGGCCAGGCTCCAGGCTAAGGTACTCAGTTCTGTCCCTCCCCTGTTCCAATGGAGAGCCACCAAAACATTTAAATAGGTTTATTTCTTCATTTACAAGAGGAATATATATTTGGCTTCTCTCTTAAGACTCTGAGATTCACAATCAGCAGCTCTAAAAAATAAAGGAGCAGGCAACACTTTGTCCTTGTTCTTGTACAACAAGAAAACATCTCTGGGGCCCCTGCTGGGGTTAGGGTGGGGGCCAGGCTGGTCATAAGGGATAGCACCCTCTGCCCACCCACATCCAAACCCCCAGGGTGCTCCAGAGCTTGGGTGGAGTGGGTACCACTAACTAACACCACTGAAGCCACAGCCAGCAAGTGGGGGACAGCCATGGGGACTGTTGTCCTAGCTGGTTCTGGAAGTTTCCTGTAGGTTACAATGATACCCCAGGATCAGAGCCACCTTGGTCACAACGTGCAAGGAATGTGAAGCTGAGGAAAGTGTCCAGAGGTGACTAAGGTGGCTGCAGGGAAGTGAGGCGATCTATGTGTGTGGGAACAGGGTGATCAAAGGCTGAGGTGAAGGCCTGCCTCCTCTCCCCCAAGAGTCAGTTGGGGTATACCTACAGGCACTGGTGGGCAATCTCCAGCAATTTCATACCCTAAGACAAGAAGCAGTATGGACAGCTGCTAGATACAGCTTTCAGCAGCCAAATCTGACTCCTCATTGAAAAGGTCATCCTGTAGGGAAGGAGTGGCTTCCGGGGGATGATAGGAATTGCGGGTAGGGTGAGGAAATAGATTCTCACGGTCTCAGCCCCTGGTGCAGGCCTGCCAGGGCCTTTACCCCTAGTGCTGCAGCTTCTAAGAGGTGATCCCACCTGGGAAAAACCTCCAGGCAAAGAACCAGCTGAAGACAACAGAGACATCCTCCAGGGCAACTGTCTCAGCCAGGGAACCCCCCAGCAGTGGGTACCCAGCTCCATGTATCAGGGTGAATTTGATGGCCCCAAGGTCAGAGCCTAAGAATGGGAAAGTGGCTCCCATATACCAGAGCCTTTGGGGGACCTCAGAACCAGAACTGAGGTCCTGAGACTTGAGCCATGTCTTCTGTGTACAGCCTAGGACTTGTTTCTTCAAAGCTGTGGAGGGTGCCTTGCAAGGCACGTAATGGAGGAAGCTCCAGCTCCTTGGCTCCACTGTCCAGCGAGGATAGGGGCTCCCTTAATATCACATGAGCTAGGGACTGGCCAGACTTTCCCCAAATACCCACTGCAGGCTGGCTTCTCTCTTGGCCCTTCAGCCCCCAACCAGGGCTGTAACTGTGTCCAACTGAGTGGCTCCAGCATACACAGCCCTCCGTGTTAATGGAGGATGCAGCTTCTTCTTGGAGATAGGGCCACTCAGTTCTTCGCCAAAGAGGGTGGGTACCCAGCTGTGAGTCACTCGGGAAGCTTTGGGACAGTCCTGCAGATCCAGGATGCTGGAGGACCTCTCCTAATCTAAACTGCAGATCATTGCTGTCCCAGCGGCACCTGTGGGAAGGGTGCCAGGTCAGAGGTGGAGCTTTGGGAATTGTTCCAAAGCTTTCACCACCACTGTGGTATTGGGGGCTATGACCCCAGTTTTACATTGACAGGAAGCTTTAGCCTCCAAGGGCTAGGCCACTGGGAAGGTCAGGGTGAGAGTTGCACCCTGACACGTCTAGGACTTAGAGGAGGAAAGCAGGAGTTTCTGGCAAGATCCAGGGCTGACCTATGTTCCCAGCCATTAGAGGGAAGGGAGGGAACTGATTTACTGGAAGAAGCCAGCTCCCAAAAATCCACAGATTCCATGTCAACATCTCAGAGGGCAGACCCAGGGCACTGGGGAATCTGCTCAGGAAGGAGATGGTTTGGAAGGTGTTTTATTCCCCGTTCCTTCATGGCCAATCCCACCATAGGGCTGTCCTGACCTGTACTCACCACCTCAGACTTTCACGGATGCAGGCGGTATCACCAGCTGGTTCACCCTGAGGGAGAGACGGGCGGGGGTCAGGGTGGCACATCAGCGGGGATTGGGCCCAGGCACGGCTCTGGCACATCGCATCACTGGGGCCGGTAGACCGGAGGCGCTGGGCAGGGACCTCGTCAGCCCCAGGGGGAGGTGGGAAAGCCCAGGGGTAGGGAAAGGAGAGAGAAAGGAATAGAGAAAAGAGGAGAAAGAAGTCAGAAAATGAGAGGGGGAGAAGGAATTGGGACTCTCAGTTCTAAAACCTTGTTAACTCCAGAGAAAAACCCATGTCTAGGGCTACAAAAAGGTCTGGTATCTCGACCACCATGGGCTGGACCCACCACATGCTGGCTGGGGACATGAGAAGAATGAGCCAAGTGTTACAGAGCTGGTTCTGGCCTCCAGCAGGTCACCTAGCCCTAAGGGTACAAAGTAACCCACTGTCTCCTCCACCCTAGTGTAAAAAGCTGTCACAGTCCCTGCTTCACAGTGTGCCCACCCCCACCCTACTCACTGCTGTTCAGCCTTGGCACGGTCGCTGAGGAAGAAGAGAGCAGTGGCAAGGAAGAACATGCCACCCAGGACCACAACGAAAGGGCACAGCATGAGGGCATAGCCCAGGCTCAGAAACTCCCAGAGCGGGGAGTCCTTGGTGCTCTGGCGAATTAGGTCCGAGATCTGTGGGAATTGGGGTTCAGGTATCAGGACATGACAATTCTTCTGTGCCCCACCCCAGGCAAGCCCCACCTTCAGCCACTCACAAAGCCAATGAGGTAGGGGCTTCCAGCATCCCCCAGCAGATGGGAGGTGAAGCTCTGCAAGGCCACAGCAGTGGCTCTTCGGGTGGGGATGACCACATACTGCAGGAGAAAGGGTGGGTCAGTGCCAGAAGGACCTGGCCTGTGGACTAGGCCAATCCCTGTGGCTATGACACTTCTGAAGCCCCCACAGCCTTAACTTCCTGTCCTGGTAGATACTCCTCCCACCATGCAGAAATGGCTGCTTCTGTCAGGGGCTCTTCTTTACTCCATCTGTCCCTCCTATCCAGAGCCTGGAAGCATCCACATAGAGCTTCAGTCCCCATCACCCCGATGGCCCTGACAGGCCCCAGACCTCAGCCTTAGTGATGGGAATCTGTACCTCCCTCCCCACCACATTGAGCCATGGAGCACAACTTCGGTACCAGTTGGCACAGGTCTTCCAAGGCCAGAGCTCTTGGAGCATGGAGGAGCTGCGCTAAAAGGCCCAGGGAACTTTTTCTTTTTGTTTTTTAAAGATAAGGCCTTACTGCTTACCCCAGGCTGACCTCAACATGCTATGCTTCTGGAGAGAACCCTCATCTCTGAGGGATCACGTGTGGAGTTGTGCAACTCTGGATGTAAGATTCTAGCCTCTAGGCTTCCCGTCCTCCGTTTCTATAAGCTAAACATCAGTCTTGTTCCCTTCCGTGAGGACTTAGCAAGCGTGAGGTTGGCTGAGGTGGAGAGGATATGAACTAGAATCCTACCCCCCAAAGAGCTTTACTTGAACTCAAGCACCCTGACACCAGGAGCTAAGAGCCACTGGGCCCTGGGTCATCCTGAACTAGACAGAACAGGCCCTGACCCCGCTTGAAGATAGATAGGTGAGACTAGGAGCTTGCCCTGAGCTCCAGCTACTCTCACTGTCCATGACACCTGTCATTGTGGACAGTGGGAGGAGGCAGCATCCTCAAAATACCTGCTGGTGGTGAGGTGACAGGGAGGGATCTGGATCCAAGGAAATTGCATGGCCCAATTTCTAGCACTAATTAGTCACTTAGCTGGGACACTTAATAAAACTGGGACATGATTTCCCTGGGACCCAGACCCTGCCAACAGCCCTCAGGGGTTGCTGGGGGTGGGGTTGTCGGGGGAGGGCATGCTGCCCGG